TCGTGTAAATAGGACAGCACCACATGGTGGTTGTCGAGGGTGGCTGCTGGAACTCACATATCATCATCAAAGGTGCAATCAACCCAACAAACCAGAAACTCCAAAACACATTGACCTTGGTCGCGGCGGATTCGGTGGGAGAGAAAATGTTGGGGTTTGGTAGTTGGCTCAGGAGCGGGTTCGATCATATGATACATTCGTTGATGGTCAAGATAAGACATGTTCATGACAAACTGTCGAAGGAAGCTGGCGTGGAATGAGTCATGGATACTCTAGTCGTTTGATAGCAGTAGTTTCGTTGTAATAGGTGTCACCATCTGAATAATTGGGTCCACAGAATCTCAGGCGAAGTTTGTGTGGCAAAATAAACCCTAAATTCTTGGTGTCAAGCTGGACTAATTGCCCAGGGGACAAAAGTAAATCCCCTTTGTGCTTGTCAACATACCATCAAGCAGTAAGGTTGGCTTTGGAAATAGCCTTAGTAGCTTTTTTCCGCGCTGTCAGTAAATCCCGTAGGAATTGTTGTAACCGTGAGGCATGACTCTCAACTAAGGGTGTGGTGGGAGTCGTGGGATTCATACTGTAGTTGAGGAAGAAAGGGGATCGGGAAGATATGGAGGACAGGGCGTTATCATACGCAAACTCGATTAGCGGGTGGGAATCTTCTTGCTGGCTCGGGTCGATACAAGTTGTCCGTATCAGCTGCTCCATGGTCTGGATTGTCCGTTATGTCTGGCCGTCGGTCTGTGGGTGGTATGCTGTGGACAGAAGGAGATGTGTGACGTACTGTTCCCACTGGGGTCATGATCGCTCACGGTAGCCTTTGGGATATCGTGTAGGCGAACAACGGTCGGGATGAACAGCTTAGTAGTTTGCTCGGGTGTGATCGTTGTTCGGCATTGCAAAAAATGGGTCATCTTCGTAACTCAATCAATGGCCAGAAGTACGGCATCATTATTGGATGCACCAGTCTGCACTTCTGTCACAGGGTCCATGGACACATGTGTCCAGGGCTTGGTGGGCGGGTTGAGCGGTTGCAGTTATCCTGCTGGCCGTTGGCGAGAGGATTTCATGAGATGGTAGGTGGACACAAGTCCATGTATTGCTGCACGTCATGGCTGGCATTTGGTGAGTAATAATGACGTTGGAGAATTTTCAAGGTGGTATCAACCCCGAAATGTCCATAGCAATTATCGTCCTGCCCTTCTTGCACCAGTAGCTCCTGTAATATGCGATAAGAGGGAACCCGAATTCAGTCAGTAACGGGTTTTCGGTAATAGTGCTCTCGCTGAGTAATCAGTGATTGATGGTTGCTCAAGGTGAAGAATGGATCGGTGATATAGTCGTGGGTGAATAGTCCTGTTAGCAACGGGTTAGCTTGGGCGATAAGTATGGCAGTGGTATGGCCAGTCGCTCGAGAAAGGGCATCGGCAATATTTTTGGCCCCCTCCTTATAGGTGATATGGTAATGGAAGTTGGACTCGAGATATCTTACGCAGCTTGTTGCCTCCCCCCCCACTCAAATGCAGCTCCCCGCTAACGTCACCCGAGGTATGTGCAAGCTCACACGGTCTTCATCTGCAGCAGCATGCGACTCTTGATGCGTCTCTCCATGCGCCTGACGAAGGCTCACATTTTCTTCCTTCCGCGTGGCAAGCTCCAAGGAGATCGCCTCCATCTTCGCCAATTTCATCATCATTTCTAACTTGCTCGCTGCCGCCTGTAACAGCTCAGCAATTTGTTCGGGCGTCGGATTACGACGAAGAGGACTTCCAACCATAAATTACCCTAGCTAGCAAATGCCACTAACGAAGCTACGAGCACCTGCACTATTAGAGACGTGGAGCGCACACGACAAAGTCAGCTGGACTAAAGAAGTCCCCACATGACCACCGGACAGCTCCTATCTCCTTACATGCTAGGTCCCTTTAATAACTACCCCTCTATATTAGACTAATCAGGCAGGAACGTAGCTCTGATACCATTTGTTATGCATGGGGATATGCAAGCCGGTAAGGAAGCCGAACAGGATAGCCAGACAGGGGAGGGCCGTGGTGTTGTGGGCAACGACTGTGGCAATTGAGTCTGCAAGGGAGACCGGTGCCAGTGCAGGAAGTGGTGTGAGTGCAACGCGGACTCGGAAGAAGCAATGAGACATGCCGGAGTTCAGCATGAAGGAGAGGGCCGCCAGAGCTGGGGCCGGCGAGGAGCACAGACTACACATAGTAGAGGATCCTAGACTACATACAGCAGAGGATCCTAGACTATATACAGCAGAGGATCCTAGGCTACACACAGCAGGATAATATGAGTCATACACAATATCATCCTCAGAGTGCAAAGAAAACATGGCAGATTCTATTTAAACCATGTCAAACCCAAACACCGGGACGACGCGACGGATAAGGAAAGGCCACTCCAGAAGAAGGACCAGGTGCCCAAAGCAGCCATGGAACAGATCGTCTAGGCCGCAAAAGCAGCGAGCGGTGGTGTGACCCCGTGCGCCCGCAGGTCTGCCCCACAAAAGAACGGCCTGGATCTGGTACACACAGCCCACAGGACCCCCGGGCCCCACGCCACCCAGGACCACGGAAGAGCCACGTGAACCCCAGGGCAGCGACTGCCCCAGGTCCCAACCACCAGGGCCTGCACCACGCCCAGAACTCCCAGGACCCCACGCGCCTGCTGCCGTTGCTGCTGCTGCTGCGGCTGCTACTGCTACTGCGGCTGATGCTGCTGCTGCTGCTTCGCCTCCTCCTCCGCACCTGCTCCTTCGCTAGCTCCCGGGGCCTCACCACTGTCTTGACCGCCTGCCGACGCCCCACGACCACCACGGCGATGCGAGCGCTTGGCCGAGCGGCCAGGCGCAGTGACCACCGCAGCAGTCTCAGCGACAGAGGCGGAGGCACCAGAGACAAAGACTTGGGACGGAGAGCAGCTCTGAAAGAGAGGGACCGCCACAGCGCCAGTGGACTTGGCGATAGCGTGGAGGCGGATCTCAACCTCCGTTAGGGAGGTGGAGAAGTAGTAGATGGTGAGGGCAGTAGGGGACAGTGCTAGAATGGCATCACACGCAGGAGCGAGGCGGTCAGGGAGGCGGATGCTGAGGAAGTAAAGGGTGACGAAGGTGGGCGGGCGGCGAAGTGGTCCTCAGGGCAAGCTGCACGGTAGCGTACCTCGAGGTCGTAGAGGTGTGCAACGAGGTCTGCGACCGTGGAGAAGGAGGCCGGGTCGAGGAAGAGGAACGGAAGGAGGAGGCGGCCGAGGGTGGCAAAGGACGGGGACGAGTAGCGGGCAACGACTGCATCCCAGAGGGCCTTGCTGTCTCCTGCGAATCAAAGTGTGCCTACTCGTTGACCAACAGGCAGCGGGTGATGGCCAGAAGCGCAGCAGCATCGCCAGCCCGCCAAATGGCGTGGGCAGTCCGGGCAGCTGCGTACTCCTCACGCTGCGCCGACATTGCAACAGTGGCAAAAGAGACTCAAGACGGTGGGGGGATGGCAGCTCACCGGTAATGTGGGCCTCCAGTAGCTCGCCGTCCACTCACTAGCTTGTCAGCTGCCGACGGAGAGCCAGAGAGCAAAACCGAACGCTCGGCTTTCGGCGTCCAGCTGAAGGACAAACCTCGACGAGGTCTTCATGCCTGCAGGAGACGCGGCGAGGAACTCCAGAAACGAGGAGACTAGTGGGAGGCGCCGACGCTAGTGACAGACGCCGACGCTAGTGACAGACGCCGACGCTAGTGACAGAGGCGCTAGTGGCTACAGGAGCATGAATGGTGGCAACGACAGTAACGGCTGTGGCTCTCGCGGCGGTGAGAGCGGTTGGAGCGGCCGGCTAGCGGTAGGCCGGCGGCTAACTGGCGGCTGGGCCGGTGGTGGGCTGACAGTTGGCTAGGATCTGGTGGCTGGTAGCAGCAGCGAGCTGGCGGCGGCGAGCTGGCGGAAAGCTGGTGGCAGTGGCTGCAGCGAGCAGCGCGGATGGCGGGCGGTGCTCAGCCAGCGGCGAGCTGCGGGCAGTGCGGAGGCAGGGCGACGGCCTAGGGCTAGGGCGCAAGCTAGGACGACAGACTAGGTCGTAACCTAGTCTAAGGAGTGCTAGGGTGGGAGAGGAGTGGGGAGTACCTAGGGCGAAAGCGACGGCTATGGGCTAACCAAGCATGATACCATATGGAGAGGAGAAAAATTGACTAGGGCAAGGCAAGTACATAGAATGTATCCAAGTGTTGTACCCTATAAAAACTACACCTAGCTAGGTTATAGTTCATATATTCCTAACACACACACACACACACGCACGCACGCACGCACGCACACACGCGCGCGCGCACACACACACACACACACACACACACACACACACACACACACACACACACACACACACACACACACACACACACACACACACACACACACACACACACACACACACACACACACACACACACACACACACACACACACACACACACACACACACACACATACACACACACACACACACACACACACACACACACACACACACACATACACATACACACATGTATATATATAAACTCTATGACATACCCACCGAGGGGGGGGAGTGTAAGGAAACGTTATTTCCTTATCCTGGGTTTCAATTCTTTAAGCACACACCAATTTAGAGCGGCATATCCCAAATGTGGCATATTCCGATCCGTATACACATTGATACGTTTTTCATATTTCATGGATGTCGAGTGTGCTACGAGCTCATTTTCCCTCCACACGTTCTGATCTCTGCCAAGCTTGCCTGTTTGGTTTGTGCCTAGATTTATCCTAGTGTTGGGCTTGTTTTGAAGCTGTCGATTGTGTAATTATCTTCGCTAAGATAATTCTCGTTTCACTCTGTCCTAGCTATATCCTAGTGCTGGGCTTGTTTTGATGTTAGCGGATCTTGCACTGAAGTGTACGAATTTTCACACCACAAATTCTTGCGTCGTGTCATCTGCTTTCGAGCTTTCAGCTGATCCTGGCCTACCGCCATAGCAAGCAGCTTGTAATTCCCGTTGAAGCCGCCATGGTGGCACTAGCGTCGTCCTCGCCCTGGCTTCATGTTTCGCTTCTTTGGTAGTCGCCTCTTCCCTTCATCACGCACCGTGATTCGTTTTCTTTCCTGATCGCCATCTTCCCATCTCCCTCACGTCGCTTCATCCTCACCACCACGCCGTCCTACCGTCATCGGAGCCCCTCTCATCTCCCCGCATCTCCCGGCCCCCGCACCCCCCCCGCCATGGACCTGCTCTTCCAGAAGTCCCTCACGGACGTCATCAAATCCCTCCGCTCCGCCCCTTCCCCCGCCGACGAGGCCAAGATCCTCGCGAAAACGCTTCGCGACGTTCGCCGCGAGATCAAGTCGTCGGATCCGCGCAGCAAGGCGGCGGCGCTCGAGAAGCTGCTGTACCTGCACATGCTGGGCCACGCGGGCGGCTCCCACATCGCGTGGGCGGCCTTCCCGTCCGTGGAGGCCATGGGGTGCCACCGCAGCTTCGCCGTCAAGTACGTCGGCTACCTCGCCGCCGCGCACTGCCTGTCCGCGGCGCCCGACGTGGCGGTGCTGGCGACGCACCAGCTGCGCAAGGACCTCACGGGCCAGCACCCGCACGACGCCTCGCTCGCGCTCTCGTGCATCGCGTCGGCGGCGCCGGCGGGGCTGGCGGCGGAGCTGACGGCGGAGGTGGTGGCGCTGCTGAACGGCACGCGCGTGGCGGGGCGACGCAAGGCCACGCTCGCCATGCTCAGAATCGTGCACCAGCAGCAGCAGCAGCAGCAGAGCAGCGTGAGCGGCGGAAGCGGAAGATTAGGAGAAGCAGACGACGACGATCAGCTGCCTGCCCTGCTCGCGAGACTCGCCGAGCGGTTACACGACAGCGACAGAGCAGTGGTAACCGCCGTGGTGTCGCTGGTGTGCGAATTAGTGCTGCACGAGCAACACCAGCGGAGTGTCACTGCCCCTGTTGACCCATCTCCCAAACTGGCCACTCCGCAGCAAAACCAGCAGCAACAGCAGCATCAGCAGCAGCGAGAAGCGCGGCCGCAAGCGCCCAAGGCGCTGCCGTCCAAGTACCTGGCGCTGGCGCCGGACCTGTTCCCGTTGCTGCAGCCATCGTCGTCCCCCTGGCTGCTCATCAAGCTCGTCAAGACCTTCGCCGCGCTCGCCGCTGCTGAGCCACGTGTGGCGCGCAAGGTCGCGGAACCCCTGGCCGCGCTGCTGCGCGCCACGCCCTCCAAGTCGCTGCTGCTCGAGTGCGTGCGCGCCGTCGCCCTCAGCATGCGCCACGTGGACTCCCTGCGCCAGCTCGCCATCCGCGTGGCGGCCACGCGCCTCGTGGCGAATGAGCCGCTGCCTCTGGATTCTGGTGCGGGTGGCGCGGGGGATGGTGGGGGAGGAGGGGGTGGTGCTGGTGGCGGCAGTGCTGGCGCGGCAGCTGCAGCTGTGCTGGGAGCGCATGACGCCAACGTGCGGCTGCTGGGGCTGCTGGCGCTCGAGATGTTCCTCCCCCACCACGCCCGTGAGGTCCTGCGCTTCAAGGCCGCCATCATCGGATCGCTGGATGATGCAGATCCGGCCGTCCAGTCCGCTGCCTTGCGTCTGATCACATCGCTGGTCACGCGGGCGTCGCTCGTGCCCTCCGTTGCGGCCCTGCGCCAGCGCATGGCAGGAGCAGCGGCGGCTCGCAGCCCCTTATGTGACGAGCTGGTAACCGCGGTATTACAGATGTGTGGCGCTGGGGGGTTTGAGCGGGTAACGGATTTCGTGTGGTACCTGGACGTGCTGCAGGACATCTGCTATGTGGCCATCGTGGGTGGGGGCGCCTCCACTGATAGACTCGTCATGGGGACACACGCAGGTGCAGGCGCTGAAGCAGTGGCGGCGTCAGCAGCCAGCAGCATGGGGGACAGTGTGTCGTCGTTGGCAGCCCTGGGCGACTCATCGGATGGGTTCCATGGGTACAGTCGCTGGGTGAGCATAGGCGCTGCCACGGCCACCGGTCTCACGCACGCCCTGTCGCCCGTTGCTGCACTGGCAGAGGCGCGGGCGGGCAGTGAGAGGGGCCGGGAGGTGGGGCGGCATCTGGTGGCAGTGGCGCTGGGGCCTGCGGTGCCGGTGGCGGACCGCCCGCGAGTGCGCGCGGCGGCGCTGCACCTGGCTCTGCGGCTGGTGGGGGACACAGCGCTGCTGAGGACCCGCGCGGGCGGGGAGCACGTGCTGGGCTGCGCGGCGTTCCTCCTCGGAGAGTGCGCACATGAGCTGCTGCCAGGGGGTGCCAGTGCAGGGACACGTGCGGGCAGCAGCACAACCACACTCTCAACTCCATCAACATCATCATCTTCACCACCCTTGCAATCTGGTAGAGCCTCGCCAGCGTCCAGTTCTGAGGTAGCAGCAGGACCACCAGCAGCAGCAGCAGCAGCAGCAGCAGCAGCATTGGTGGAATCATCGCTGTCGTCGCTTTTCTCCTCCCTGCTGCAGCCGAGCGTGCTGCTGCTGAGCCCTGCGCCCCAGGCCGTGTTCCTGCAAGCCGCACTCAAGGTGCTCCTCGCGCTCACACCTCATGCCACACCCACATGCCTGGCAGCAGCAGGGAGCAGCACGGGAGCAGGAGAAGCGGCAGGGGCTGATGGCGGTGTTGGGCTTGCAGGGGGGGCAGGGGCGCGGTTGGCAGTGGCTGCAGCGGTGGCGGAGGCAGCAGGAGGGAGGGGCAGTAGAGTGGAGTGGTTGGTGGGCGTTCTGGATGAGGCTCGTGAGCGGCTGCTGCCGTTCCTACAGTCACCCGACGCTGATGTGGCGGACAGGGCGTGCAACGCGGATGCGCTGCTGGGGCTGCTGCTGCCGCTGCTGCGAGAAGCTGCGCACACGGAGAGGCAGGGCGGGCAGGGGGGTGCAGAGCGAGGAGGGGTTAGGGGCGAAGATGTATGGGGGGGAGCAGCTAGGGAGGCGAAGGCTGGGGATGTGGGAGAAGGGGTTTCTGATGTGAATGAATGGCAGAGGCAGCAGCAGTTGGAGCAGCAGTTGCTGATGCTGCACACTTTGGCTTCACTCTTCCCTGCTGCCCAGGCCAATCCAGCCGACGCCCCCTCACCTTCCCCTCCTCTCGCTCCCGCACCTCTTACATCGAAAGGCATGGCAGTGGGCGCAGCAGGCAGGCAGCAGCTGCTGCGAGTTGTGGAAAGTGCAGCGGTGGCGATGGGAGTAGGCCCTCCTGGTGCTACCACTCATGGCAGCAGTGATCGTGGTGCTGCTACCTATGGTGCTTCCGCTGACTCTGTCTTGGCGTGGCTGGACGCCTTTGGCCAGTCGTCTCACAGCGAGTGGGATTCGGGCATCCTCTTCGTGCGCTCGCTCCCATCGCGCCTCCTCGCCACGCCCTCCACGGTCTCATCATCCACCATGGCAGCAGCAGCAGGGGGCGTGGCGCCACATGGGAGTGTGGGGCATGCAACGCCTGGTCAGTTGATGGGTGGAGGAGGAGCGGTTGGAGGGGGAGGTGTGGGTGGAGCAGCACCTGCCACACAGCAGGTGGGTGGAGGGATGGATGGGGGCACGGAGGAGTGGCGCAAGCGCAACAGCCTCTTCTACCTGCCGTCAGATGGCACGGCCAGGGGGGATGCGAGAGGCAAGCAGGTGGCGGGTGGGGAGGGAGAGAGCAGAGACAGGGCAGCGGGTGGAGGATGGGGCGCCCCATCAGCAGCGTCAAGTGCATTGAGGGGAGGGGACTTCCCAGCAGCCGTGGGACACTATGACTATCCTCCTGCGGTTGGGGATGAGGCAGTTGCAGAGTTCTTGCCGTCCAGGGGGTCAGGAGGTGGGAGCAAGCGGGCACCACTGCTGTGTGGCTTGCTGGAAGAGGAGCCCTCAAACGGTGGCTCTGTGGCACTGTGAGCCGGTGACACATTTTGTGTAATTGAATGATGTTTTTGGAGAAGAGTTTGCACGGAGTACAAGTAGTGACGTCTTGATCCCAAGTGAGCTGAGCATTACTGCAGATAGAAAATGACATGAGCATCAGCAAGTTGAAACATAACATTCATACTGAAATGTAGAAATGTGCTATTATGGGTCACGAGCCCATGGTGTTTTCTGTCGCCGTTCGTTAGTAGAGAAATCTGGGACATAGCGATAACGAGCGACGCGTACACTAGCTTTCACGTGCGCGGGACCTCGTTTCAGAGTCGAGACAAGAGCATATCGTATCACCTGCCTGGCTGGCTGCTCTGCTCCAGGCCTCTGGAAGTCAGGGTAATTAGACTGATTTATCAAGGAAAACAGGGTGAAATTTTAACCTGGCCCTGCTTTTGACGCATTCAGAATATCGATACCCGTCCATGGACAGGCAAGCTCGAAGTATCCCACGGCCAATTTCCGAGTATGGGATAGACCCACCCTGTAAAATCTAATGTAGATATTCGCCCCCCAGTAAAAAATTATCCCCCAGTCATTGTCAGGAGCGGCTTATTCCGAGCTTGACGAAACTCTTGCCTGCAAAAACAGTCAAACTTTTTAGGGCCACCCAGCCTGGACGAGTTGGATCCCGGGCAAACTCGGAAACTGCAGGGTGACCCCTAGGATATCGAGAGGCCTGCTCTGCTCACGTTCGATTCAATCCGCACACTCCACCACGCCACAGTCCGCACCACGTCTGATGATCTGATCCATGGCCCACCGACTTGCCCGTATCTCGCGAGAGCCAATGCTGCAATGCTTGCGCTGACGTGTCGTTTACCAGGTGGCACGCCATCCGCGTCGTTTTCAATTCGGCCTTCCCGCCTGCTCAGCTCACACACACACATGATAGCGAAGCGACGTGCCACGCGCACTATCTGAAATGGTCTCCTCACTGCCGCTGCCCCGTTGTATAGCCACCCAGCGCTTTCACTGCCGTCTTAGTCGCCTCGCCGCACCCAAGCCTGCCCCCACGTGCACCGCTTTGCTCGCCAATGCCCGCCGCTGTACCCCCCGATCGGCAAAGGTCGTAAATCCAGTAGCCTACTGGTTCAAGCACCGGTTGAACAACTTCAGCTTTTCCCTTGTTCCGCTCGGCAAGTCGTCCAGTCGTCCAGTCCCCTTAAAGCCCTGTCCTGCGCGGCGGGCGTCAGGCCCACCCGAGCGCAGTGATGTGTGTCATTCGTTCGACGAATGCGTGAGATGAGAAGCTCTCATCGTCATCCCGCCCCTTTGACGGCCCATGCCGCCCATGGCGCCCTGCAATCCCTCTCCCTGCCCGCCATAACGCCTCCTCAGCCGCAGTAGACCCCCTGCTTTCACACACGGAGGCCCCTCTCTCCGCCCGGCGCCCACCGCCCCATCCTCCTCTTCTCCCCTCCCCTTTCTCCTCCATGCACCCGCCATCTTCCTCCTCCTCCTCCGCCGCCGCCGTTGCCGCCGGCGCGTGTCTCCCCCGGCCGTCTTGGCGCGGCGGGGTGCTGCTCATCTACCTCGCCGTCGCCTCGGCTCTCACCACCGCGCTCCTGCTCCACCTGCCCGCCCCCCTCGCTGCTGCCACCACTTCCACCGCCACCCCCATCACGACCTCCGTTCCCTGCGCGTCTGCCTCCCAAGAAGCTTCCATCCAACGGTATGGAGTCCCTGCCGCCACTGCCGCCGCCACTGCCGCCGCTGCTGCTACCACTGCCGCCTCTGCCGCCACTGCAGCAGCCGCCGCTGGCGCAGGTGGATCCGGCGGGCGCAGAGCGCAGGCGCTCACAGGCACGGCGAACAGAGGGGAGCTGCTGCTGCGGGGGGGCTGGCGCAGCGCGCTGCAGGCAGGGGGGAGTGGCGCGATTGATGGCGGAGACGGCGGGGGAGGAGTGGGGAGTGGGTGGGGGTCGCGGGAGCATGCGGCGGAGCAGCACATGCTGAGACTCGCGGACGCCGCTTTCAAGGTGAGACGCGGGGGTGTGGGTAGCGGGGGATGAAGCAAGGGGCAGTGATATGGTGACGTGGCTTGGCGTGGGGTTTCGGGAGACATGGTTGTAGAGGCGGTGGAGAGCGTGAGGGGGGGATGAGAAGAGAGGTAGGGGAGAGGTGGGGAGCGGTTGGAAGAAGTAGAATCCAAAGGGGAGTTTTTCAATGGGCTGTGTGTGTGTAATGTGTCCAATCCACAATCACATGCTCCCACTGCCTTTGAACCTCTCCCTCCCTCACCAACACGCACCTCCCAATCCTCATCCTCCTTCGTCCCCACCCTCCGCCTGCCTCTCCCCTCTCCCCTTACGCCCAACCCTCCCATATCCCCCCCTCCCCCCCTCTCTCCTCTCCCCCCTGGCAGCGCAACCAGCAGCAGCGCACAGCGTTCTTGTTGGAGCGCGATGAGATGCAGGCGCAGGCGCAGGCTCAGGGGCAGGGGCAGGCGGACGACGTGGAGGCGCGCCTGAGCGCGCTCATCCCCACATTCCCCTGCCCCAGCGAGCAGCGCCTGGGGATTTGGGGCGATGGGGGCAAGGTAAGAGCACGGTGGGGGCACGGTGCGGGCAAGTGGCCTGGGAGAAGGGGGCTAGAGTGGTGGGTGCAATGCTGTGGGCTTACCTGTTATATCCTAGGGCCTCACACCCGCCTTTGGAATGCTGGGTGCAATGCTGTGTGGAGTGCAGCAGCATGCTGTGCTATTTCACTGTCCTGTGCTGGGGTCAACGTTTGCGCTGCCCCGCTCACCACCACACCCCTACACATGCTGAGAATGCAATGCCAGTGCACATCTGCGTGCATTCCCAGCTCAGGGGCAGGCCCACTCACAGTTGCCCACTCACAATGCTGTGCGCTGCACCGTGCATGCTGTGCGCTGCAAGACATGGACAACAAACGACATTCTCACCCCGCTCTCATGCCGCGAGTTCACTCCACTGTGCCTGCTCTCCCTTCTCCTCGCTCCGTCAAATCGCCCTCGCACACCCTGCCCCCTCACCCTCCTGTCCATCCCCTTCCCTGTCCTCATTCTCTTGTGCGTGTCAGCGCAGTGGGTGTGTGCAGTGAGCTCAGCCTTTCAGCGCCATCCAGTGGTGTACAGGTGAGCACCATACGGCCTCACCTGCTCTTCACTCCTGACCGGACTCCAAAGGTGACTGCCTTGTTCCAAAGGAGCCCCTCCTACTCTGTACACCGCATCATGCATGCTCTACACTCCACTTCTCCCACCACCTTCCTCTCCGTCTTTCTCCTCTCTCCTGATTCTCCTCCAACCATGCTTCTGAATCCCCCTCCCCCACCCCCCCACCCCCCCACCCCCAGCATCGGCAGCAATGCAGAGTTCTCCTTCGAGCGGGACATCAGCCTGCTTCTCCACACCAGCCCCCTCACCTTCGACCCCTTCGTGCCGCCGGACTTTGCGGAGCACCTGAACCAGACGCTGGACTTCCTCACCTTCTTCTCCACGGGGCTCTCCTCCCAGGCCACCCTTGCGCAAACCCGTGCGCAGCACCCCGAGCAGGAGTTTCTGACGCTGGCAGCGCTGATGGCGCGGCACGGGCACGCGTACGTGGACGTGCTGAAGCTGGACTGCGAGGGGTGCGAGGAGGACGTCCTGCTCGACCTCGCCACCACCACAGCCACCCGCCAGTTGCCCCGCGTGGAGTGGCAGAGGGAGGAGGAGGAGGATGTGGGGGTTGAGCGGAGGGGAGGAACGAAGGGATTAGCGGCCGTGGGGTTTGTGAGAGGCGGTGGAGAGGGCATGGTGCGAGACGGGGAGATTGACAAAGTTCCACCGGTTGGCCAGATTCTAGTGGAGATGCACAGGTGAGTGCGCGCGGCTGCTGCTGGGATGCACCTGCCACTGCCTCTTGTGCACACCCCCCCCACTTCCCCCCTCCCTCCTCCTTTTGCGATACAGTACGCACCTAGCTCCATGCACATGCCGCACCCCCCAAACCCCCACCCCCCCCACCGTGGCGCGCGAGTGCCCCCCTCCCAGGGTGCACAACGCATCGGCCACGCTGCCGGTGGTGCGGCAGCTGGAGAGCGTGGGGTACCGGCTGTTCCACTCGGAGTCCAACCCGTACGACCCCAAAACCTGCATGGAGCTCGCCTTTATTCACCGCCGCCTCGTGCTGCCCCCGGGTCGATAGCTGCTATGCTGCATGGCGCGGGCTCTCAGGCTTGGTGCCGTGTGTAGAGCACTGCACTTGACCAGGATGCATGCCGACAAACCAGCGAGCTGCCATTCGTAACTTGGCTGAAGGCCACTTGTTAATCTGCATAGCCTGCAGAAGCCATGCTATTTACCAGTGGCCAGAGCTAGTCACATGGTTGACCCGAGCCTGAATGCACTACTGGTACCGTATGTCGGTGTGCAATGCATACTACCAGCAAGTGTTGTACAGGACTGATGCAGGAGTGCTATTGTGAAGGTTGAGCAATGCAGCAACTCGCAAGTCCATGGTGTGCTGAAACACGGAATCAGGGCCTCAGATTCATTTAGAGGCACCTGTCAAATGTAACTGAGGTCGTTACTGTAGACTATACTGGATTGTGCCTTAGAGGGTACAACACCCTAGTCTATATATCCTTGTACACACACATTCTAGTACTATCATTTTCTTTCTGATATGGTATCAGAGTAGGTTAGATCCCCCACTAGCCCGCTCACGCTTCCGCCCCTACGTTCCTAGCCGCCCCCCTGGCCGTCGCGCTCGTCCCTAGCCGGCCCCTGGCCGTTTGCACCCGTCCCTAGCCGGCCCCCTGACCGTTCGCGCTCGTCCCTAGCCGGCCCCCTGGTCGTTCGCGCCTGTCCCTAGCCAGCCCCCTGGCCGTCGTGCTCGTCCCTAGCCGGCCCCCTGGCCATCGCGCCCGTCTCTAGCTGGCCCCCTGGCCGTCGCGCCCGCTCCTAGCCGGCCCCCTGACCGTCGCAATCGCTCCTAGCCGCCCCCCTGACCGTCGCGCCCGTCCCTAGCCGACCCCTGACCGTTCGCGCCCGCCCCTAGCTGGCCCCCTGGCTGTCGCGCTCGCCCTTAGCCGGCGCCCTAGCCGTCGCGCCCGTCTCTAGCTGGCCCCCTGGCCGTCGCGCCCGCTCCTAGCCGCCCCCCTGCCCGTCGCGATCGCTCCTAGCCGGCCCCCTGGCCGTTCGCGCCCGCCCCTAGCCGGCCCCCTGGCCGTTCGCGCCCATCCCTAGCCGGCCCCCTGGCCGTTCGCGCCCGTCCCTAGCCAGCCCTCTGGCCGTCGAGCCCCTCCTAGCCGGCGCCCTGGCCGTTTCGCGACCGCTCCTCGCAGGCCCCCTGGCCGTTTGAGCCCGCTCCTAACCATCGCGGCTGCTTCTAGCCGCCGTCGCGGTCGCTTCCCGCCGTCCCTCGGCCGCCCCTAGTCATCCCGGCCGCCCCTCGCCGTCGCGGCCGCCCCTAGCCGCTGCCGCTGCCGTCTCCAGCCGCCTCACGGTCGCTCCTGCCGTCGCGGCCGCCCCTCGCCGCCGTCGCGGCTGTCCCTGGCCACCGTCGCGGCTGTCCCTGGCCGCCGTCGCGGCTGCCCCTGGCTGCCATCGCGGCTGCCCCTGGCCGCCGTCGCGGCCGTGTCTACTTGCCGCCCGCCGGCCGGCCCCTGCATTCGCGCCGTCGCCGGCCCGCCGCTGCCTCGGGTTCGGCCCGTTCTTCCCGATCAGCACCGCCCTCCGAACCCCCCCCGGTACCGTACTGCATCGCTTTGCACCGCACTGCACTGCATTGTACCGCACTACACCGCATTGCACCGCACTGTACCGCACTATACCGCACTGTACCGCACTGCACCGCTTGGTACCGCACTGCACCGCACTGTACCGCACTGCACCGCACTGTCCTACTCTACACTACCCTCTATTGTCACTCATTGCGGCGGTGCTTTGCTTTGACGCTGAGGGCCAGCCGATTGAGTTTGATGCGTGGCTTGCTGACCTCCGTCGCCATCTCACTGGTCAGCGGCAAGATGGCCACCCGTTGTCTGTCCATCTTGATGGTACCCTCCCCTGCCCCGACCCCCCCGCTGCACTGTCTCCTGACCCCTCGTCCGCTGAGCGTGAGTCCGCTGCAGCCGCTGCCCTTGCTCGCTCTGTCTGGCTGTCCCGTGACGATGTTGCACAGCTTGCTATTAGCAATGCCCTCCCCCTGTCCGAGCGACCTCGCTTCAGGTCTATCACCACTGCCCAGGCTTTCCTAGATGCTGTTGTCCAGCGCTATTCCACCCCGCCTGCTGCCTCGGTCGGTCGTCTGATCCTCCCCATGCTCTTTCCTGACCTTGCGTCGCTCCCCACTGTTGCCGACCTGGCTGCTCACCTGCGCACTATAGACGAGACCTGGCGTGCTGCCTGCACCCCCACACAGCTTCTAGCCCACTAGCCGCCCCTCACCTCTACTCTCTACCTACTAGCCACCCGCCTCCCTGACCGTCTTGCCACTACCAGTGACCGCTTTCTTAGCGTCCACCCCGCAGACCGTACCCTCATTGACTTTGTTGACACCATATCCACTATACAGGCCCGCCACCGCTCTATCGCTCAGACCAGTGGTACTGTGCCGGTCCCTACCTTTCAATGTTGTGCCCCCGCTCAGTGCACCTTCCCCGACGGTTCTGCTGCTGTGGCTAAGACTGCCGCTGCCGCACAGGTTCGTCCGAGGAAGGGTCGCCTCCCCAAGGCTGGACGTGGCGACGGGGGTGGGGGTGCGGGTGTAGGTGGTGCTGGAGTTGGGTCACCTAGTGGTGGTGCTGACGAGGGGACCCTGACAGATGCAGCCGAGCAGCCGTCTCAGCAGTTGCCGGTGTTGCAGCCGGACCCGCGCCAGCCGCAGCAGCCGCAGCCGACGCAGCTGCAGCCGTCGCCGCAGCCGCAGCAGTTGCAGCAACAGCAGAGGCGGACGTGTCGTCTTCCGCCTGGGTGGCCCGGCGCTTGGGGCAGCGCTGGACGTGGTGGTGGTGCGCATGGTGGGCTGCCGAGTGGTGGTTTGGGTGCCGCGCGCTGTCAGTACCTGCTTCAGACCAGTCCTCACCGTGGCTTCGTTTGCGGTAAGATCGGTCATACCTCCGTCAGCTGTTTCCATCGCCTGGACGACCTGTTTCGTCAGCGTTTCGGCCCGTCGCCCGAGCTCCCAGACAGGCACAGCTTGCTTAGTCGTAGGGTTCAGATTTTATATATGGACATGGATGAGATTGTTGCTGCTCTGCATATGATGTATGCTGATGACTCTAGTGTGCTTCCGTCTTATTACCCCTTGTTGCCTAGTGTAGGTGTGCCTTGCTTAGACTCCCCTGCTGCGTAAGGCGTAGGATCCCCTGCTTTGTTTAGCCTTGGTGCTTCCGTCGCTACTTTGCCTCCGGCCGCCACTGCCGTGCTCTCCTTCACCCTCGACTCTAGCGCTTCCCGGTGCTTCTTCCGCGACTCCACCACATTGACACCGCTTCCTGTCCCTGCCGCTGTCTCCCTGGTTGACCCCTCCTCTGGCCCTGTAGTCGCCCGCAGTTCCACCACCCTCCCCTGCCCGGCGGTTCCATGGGGCTCTCTCATAGACCTGCACATCCCCTCGTTCTCCAAGAACCTAGTTGGTGTCGGCTGCCTCCAGGACCTTGGCGTTACCACTACGTTCCCTGGTCACGAGCGGTACGCTGTCTGTACCGAGGCCGCCTCTGGTGCCCCCCTTACCACGTTCCCCCCGGACCCGGTGTCCGGACTGTTCACACTGGACAATGTGACCCTCTCGGCTGGGACCACCCCTCAGGTGGCTGCGTCTACCCAGGTTGCTGCTGCCTGCTCCTGTCGGTCACTCACCCACCCGACTTTGCTGTGGCACCACCGTCTAGGTCACCCTGCGCTCCCGCGTATGCGTCACATGTCACAGCACGGTCTCGTCCTAGCCCTCCCTGGGTCGATCTCTGAGTTTCACTCCTCCCCTGCCCCACCTTCCACGCCTTGTGTCGAGGGCCGGCTTCGCCGTGCTCCTCACTCCTCCTCGTTTCCCCCTACTGCCGCACCGCTACAGACTCTGCACACGGACGTCTGGGGCCCCGCCCCCGTCCATGGGCCGCGTCGAGAGCGCTACTTCCTAGTGCTAGTCGACGACTACACGCGCTACACCACTGTGTTCCCCCTGGAGCGGAAGGCCGACGTGCTTGACGTTCTTATCCCGTGGCTTGTCTTTGCGCGTGTCCGTCGCGGTCTCCCTGTCTTGCGCCTCCACTCCAACCGTGGTGGCGAGTTTGCCTCTGGTGTCCTTGGTCATTTCTGTCGTGCGGAGGGCATCACCCAGACGTTCACCTTGCCGGACTCCCCGCAGCAGAATGGGTTCGCTGAGCGACGCATCGGTTTGGTCATAGAGGTGGCTCGCACCTCCATGATCCATGCTAGTGCACCCCATTTTCTATGGCCGTTCGCCGTTCGCTACGCCGCTCACCAGCTTAACCTGTGGCCGCACCCTCAGCAGCCTCAGGTTTCGTCGACCCTCCTTTCGTCTGGGTCACCTGGTGACGCGTCTGCGTTCCACGTCTGGGGCTGTCTTGCTCACGTTCGTGCCTCTAGCACGGACAAGCTCACTGCCCGCACCCTTCCCTGTGTCTTCCTCGGCTTCCCCCTTGACGCGTCTGACTGGCACTTCTACCACCCGCCGTCTCACATGTTCTTTCAATCCCGTGACGTCACCTTTTACAAGTCCGTCTCCTTCTTCCGCCGCTTCCCCCACCGAGGTCCCCCGGTTACCCCCCCCCTGTTCCTGGTCACCCCTTCCCCGGTCGTTGCCGCCCCTCCTCCTCCCCCTCCCCCTCTGGTGTGTCCCACGTCACCCCACTTACGTCGGTTGTACCGGTTGAGGAGTCTACTGACTTTGGTTGTCCAGCGGCGCAATCCTCGCCGCTTGCGCCTTCTCAGGTGTCTCCTCCTCCGCCGCCTCCGCAGCCGCAGTCGCCACCGCTGTCGCAGCCGTCGTCACCGCCGCCGCCGTCGTCGCAGCCGTTGTTGTGACCGCCGCCGCCGCAGCCGTCGCCGCAGTAGTTGGTTGCCTCTGGGGGTGTTGGATTTGGGGTGGGTACTAGTCCTGGGACTCCTGTCGTGGCTTGTCCCGGCGGGCCTGGGGGTGGTACCGGTGCTTGAGGGGTTCTGAGCTCTGGGGGTGTTTCTTCTGGGGGTGCTAGTGTGGAGTGTTCTAGAGGTAGCCGCCCGACAGCTTGCGGTCCCGGTGTCGGCGTCACACTGCCGTCACAGTAGTCCGCGCCAGTGTCCGCTCTTCGCCTGTTCGGCCTTCCGTACCCTGACCCCGTGCCCGTGCTTCCTCCTCCTCCTGTCTCCGGCCCTGTGTTCCCTCCTCCGGACGCGTCTCCGACCCCTTTCCCCCCTCGTTCCCCTCCTGTGCCCCCTCCTCTGTCTCCTGACCCGACTCCCCCGTCTCACGTCTGGTCTCGCCGTCCCTCCCATGCTCGACCTGTCTCCCGTGTCTCGCGCTCTCACCCTATGTTGCTTCGTTCCCAAGCGTCT